TCAAAAATTTCTGAACGTCGCTATGTTTATGTCATCCTCCTTATACTTTGAATTAGAAGCGACCAATTGACTAGCCACGACAGGACTTAGATTTCATTAATGCGGTGGATTAAATTCTGCCCGCGATCTTATAGCACGGAATCTTGGGCAAGAGAACCAAATCCAGTATCTTTGTTTGGTGTGCGCCCAGTAAGCGACTTGAAAGGGAGATGTCTTGGTAGAGCGGTTAGCCCGGGTTGTTGAAGGCGAACTCGGCAAGAGCAAGATACCGGTCCCCTTTGTTGGGCATATTGCTATGCCGGGCTTGATGAATGATATCGCCATAGTACGATTCGCAGCTTCGTCGACCATACGTTTGGGGATGAAAAGAACTACTATATCTTGTAAATCCGTCCCAGACAAGCGCCGTAAAGTCTTGGCGCGTTAGTGAGTCGAAATGGCATGACAAGCCACTCGTACAAACCGCGCAATGCTTGAAGGCCGTTTTTCCATTAAATCGTCGCCGAGGGCGGATGCGAACTTGGTGGTATCCGCTTTGAAGTTCGATCTTCGTAAAAATGCGTGATCCGAGCAAGTACGCCTAGCATATCATCAAGTCGTGGAATCGGAAACCTATAGCAGACAGGTAATCAGGTTAATGGCACGATCTGTCTACACATACGCATAGTACAGTCTTTCTTTGGCGTGAGAAGCGCATGAGAGCGCACATGGACTTTTGCTTTCACGCAAAAAGCCCTTTGAAGGAGATCTCCCGCGTCTTTCTGTAGAATCGATTCTCCTTGATTCATCCAGATAATGCACAAATTAGGAAGACTAGCACACTGGAAGAAAATCAATCTCGTGATGGATATTCCTCAAGGAGGTAATCCGTCGGAGTAAATCCTCGGGCATAACATCTCTTGAATACCTTTAATAAGGGCTTAAGAATGTCGGGAACACGAACCACAACTTATTGGTCATCTTGTCCACAATCATATACATCCCTTCACGTTTCGGATATTCATCATAACCCACACATTGCTAACTTCTTCACAACTGACGGGAATTACTCTTTGGTTTCAAAGTAATTTTAGTCCTTTTCCACACAAAAGAATACGTATTCTCCCTAGCTCGGTGTGTAGCATCAACATCATATTGCCATGGCCAGGACCCGATAAAACATGACACGCATCCATCTCAGCAACATCACGAGACAATAGTATCTTGATATGATTTCCGTCGAAATAGGTAAAGCGGCATAATTGGTTTACCTTAAGTTCTGCTCCCTTGCGTATCCACCCGATCGTGTAGGGCGCGGGATGCGGCTTCGTCTTTAGTTGCAAGTGATCCACCAAGGCCTTTGACACTATGTTCTGCGCAACTTCATTGTCAATAATAATATCGCATACTTTGCCATTGACATGATGACGGCTGGCGGAAAAGTGATTCATTGGGTATCTTACGTTCGCGGAGCAAGCAATAGGCGGCGCACAACACAATTAACTTACTGCCCACTTCATCTTCCACTCCCTTTCTTCTTCCTTTTCCCAATCTTCCTCATACACATCTTCATCATGTTCAACGATATTGGCCATTCTACGACGAGGACAATCGGTGGAGCGATAGCCCAACTCGTTACACTTGTAGCCTTTGATCGGTTAGGGCTTGGCATATGGATTAAGGTATTCGATTGGGAGTGCGATTGCTTTCTTGTATTGCTTCCTTAGGCGTCCCAGTAGTACCCCACGGAACTCGGCTCCCGAATCGAGGTGTTTGTTGACTAGAAGAACTTGCAACATCAGTTGTCTTCCTTTCTAGAATGACCCACGACCCGAATAATTACTACCACGAGTACTAGGGCTAGTCCTCTCAATTGCATCTCAACTTTTCGCGCCATATCTTGGGGCGTCTTCGACAGAAGAATAGTCGATGCAAAGAAACCCGATCTGGATATTAAGTCGCAAACCATTAATGTACCTAGCGGTTTGTTGTGCCTCGGACTCATCCAGTTATTGCGAGCGGAGAGTCGAAGGAACTCTTAGTATAAGCTTGGGCCGATCTATTCGATTGTCGGCAATTTGGAATTCTTTGAAATAAGAGTTGCTCATAGTCAGTTGGGAGGAACCTCTTTTTTAACCATTTCATCGACCCCATGATCGAATAGGAGCCTTGCCTTATCGACGTCGCGTCAATTGAGTACGTTCCCCAAGGGTGAAGCGCCACCCTTCAACTTATGCATACAAGTTTCACTTGGCGATCTTCGTCAATATCCATAGCGTCGAAGAATTTTTCGACCTCCCAAAGAAAATCAAGGAAATCTTCAATATCCAAATTCCCATTGAAAGTAGGAGATCTACCTTTAGTTGATCTTGCTCGGGATCTCGTCGATATCCTCCCTGACGTCGATTCCCACGAACATGCTCCTCCTGGAATCCCTTGTATCGGCGACCACCACGAATCTGCATCTCCTGGAAATCATCGTCTTCATCTTCCGTATCCTCGACATAGTCTTGACGCCTTTGTCGGGAATTCTCCTACGCCCCATAGCATTTTCGGGATCACGAACGAAGGGAATTCGCTCAGTGGAAGATTGCCGGGCGCATGGTTTTGTGGACAAGCTATTTGGATGGCATCAAGGATCTCTTGAAACCTCCGTTCGGTTTGATCCACGAAGGCGATTGAACTCGGCCGCGTAATAGGCTTGTTCTCACGTCCCTCGGCGGGGAGATTGACATTCACGTTATTCACCATCGTCATAGGAGAAGCACGCTTTCGATACCAAATGACGCGAGAGAAGCGTAAATTTGGAACAACTCCAAAGAACTCGAAATTTTTATTCTATAATCGTGTTTTTTATTACAAGACGGACATCTTATATATAGAGATATGACTCCTAATACTAATGGAAAGCCGAATAATTAAAGAAATTGCTGAATGGTAATAAGAATCAATGGTAATATAGGAAAGCGACTAGTTTTTTAAATTTGATTGCTTGAATGGTTGTTTTCCCAAAAAGCTTGAGATTCGCGGTGGCACACGATCACATTGTTCAAGATAATCACAACCTTGTGCCATTAGTTTCAAGAATCAAAAATTAAACAAAGCGGTTTCTATTCCCAAGCCGGAATCAAAAAATTAAACATACGGGAACATTCCCAAAGGCGATTACAGGAGCAAGAACAGAATCAAACACTATTTAGCAAGTTGCCATGCGCAGCCTAAATCCACTTTTTTGCGGCAGAATTGCAATGAGCACTTTTAGCTTTGACTTTTTTCCCATTACATGTATATTCTGATGTCAGAACGTAATGCATTTTGTTGCAAATCTAGTCGGAAATAGCAATGGTCCCTTAAAGTTCACTAGAAAGAAGAAACTTTCTCATCGTTAACAAACAATTCGAAAGAAAGAAGAAATTAAAGATTAAAGAAAAATAACCAAGTGCCCAGAACACCAGCCAACGAAACACATTGAAGAGAATCGAACAAACATCAAGGATCTCGGTTGTAACCACGTCAAGGATCTGCCGTCGAAGTGGACCGCGTTAGCATAGCACTAGATAGATCCTAAATCTCGGGTCTAGGGTTTTTGTCGACCTCAGATTCAAGTTACAAGGCTCGACATTGCCGGTCGAGCTCGGGCTCCACGATGATGAGGACGGCCGCAATCTACCCGGTGAGAATCAATGGCGACGGAGCGTCGTGGAGGAGATGACGGTGGTTGAGGGTTGAGGTGACGGCGATCGGCTATTATGATGGCGGTCCTCAGACTTTGGCCAAAATGCTCTTGTTGGAGGTGGTGACAAGCGATGCTTTTCACCCCTTAGTAATTGGAACGTGATCGGCTAGCCAGTTGACGATCGGCGACTATCAGAGGCTACGACGATCGTGCAGTGGTCGGAAGTGACAATGATATCGTCCGGTGACGTAATATCCCAATGTATCACTCCATCACTCAATCGTTGGGACAGGGCTTATTAAGTTACATTTTAAATTTTTTTATCCAATCCGGGTTTATCCCGCCTCTCACAAGAATTTCTTATTTGGCATTTTATTTAGGTGTATCTAGATTTATCTTGTCCGGAGGACGTCGCCGAACATCGGATATGATAATATGGATTCAAATTTAGACTGCCAAATGCAGCTTTGACCAGTTTCATTTGTTTGTCTTTTTTAACTTCCCATCATTTCCTTTTTCACTCAGCTTAATTTAGGATTAGAGGATTTATAAAGGCTGAAAAAGCACCAATCTGAAAGGGAAACTCTACATATCCCAAAAAGTCAAAATCCTTGAATATGAAAACAAGAAAAAATAAATTACATACCGCAAAATAGAAAATCACGAGTAAAAAATATTATCACTAAGTATAAAGTAATTATTAATGTCATTAGAAAGATCTATTACATTTCAAAGATAAAAAAACATTTGAAATGTTGGCTTTGCAACTAATAACGAAATCATTGTGCATTATGACTTCTCATTTGTTTCGCTCGGATCGAATTGCTCTACAAGGACTTTTCAGAGGCCTAAGATAATTAGTGAAGTTGCTTTCATCGCTAGTAACTTAGGTATCGCATGATGTCACGACTCTTTTATCCCTAGCATCTTCAATTGAATTGTTCACCTCATCTTTATCACTAGCATTATTTTCATTAGTGAAGTTGCCTTCCACATAACTCCATTCATCTCAACAAGATAAGAGGAAAAAAAAATTAAGCATCGCTGTTACTTTCTTGCAATCAAAGAAGTAAAGACTGATGAACCTTTCTCCACGGTTACATGATAATCCATTATAAAATCCTAAATTAATCGAAAGTTTAAAGTATACTGGATATTCGCATTCTATTTTTTCGAGTTCTCAAATTTCCTATCGTTCTTTAGACATGCACGGCCCCATCCATGCCCCTCAGTTGTTAACTAGTAGTGTCTTTCTCGAGCGGAGATTTCAACATGGTTTGGTCAAAAACCCCCCAACTCGACCCAATCTTATCAGATCTAATTAAACAAATAAATAATCAAGCATCAACCCGCACGGCAGGCAGGCAGGCAGGCCTGAGGCCAATCGCGGCGGCTCTTGGTGCAGCACGCAACCGGCCGAATCTCGCGCCGGCGGGGCAGGCCACGCTTCTGCACGAAGCTCCCCTTGGACACCTTCCCCAGACAAGAGACGACCGGCCTCGTAAGCATCGCCACCTTCCTTCTTCATCTCTCTGTCTGTCTGTCTGTCCGTCTTCTTCCCCAGTTGAACACTCCCCCCGATCTAAGTCAACGGATCGATTCTGTGCATGTTCTTGCTTCGTCGCTAAGATCTCACCGCCCTGCACCTCCTTTATATCCAGCCCGGCTCCTGCAGACAGATCTCGGAGTCTAGCATCGCGTCGATTCTCTTTTCATCATCTTCATCGGGTTGAGTTGATCCAACCCACCACACCATCTTCGTCAGCGTTTCGAGCCACGCTCGAACATGGCCTCCTCGCGCTACCAAGTCGAGATCACCCTCATCGGGGCCAAGGACCTCAAGAACGTCAACTGGCGCCACGGCTCTCTCAGGCCTTACGCCGTCGTCTGGGTCGACCCCAACAACAAGTCCTCCACCCGGGCCGACTCCGAGGGCGACTGCTTCCCCGTCTGGGAGCAGACCCTCCAGATCCCGTTGCCGCCGGGGACCGCCGTCGACGACGCCACGCTGCACGTCGACGTCGTCCACGCCGGTTCCGAGGACGGCACCAAGGCGCTGATCGGCTCGGCCCGGCTCAGGCTGAGCGACGTCCTCGAGGACGACGATGGGTACGGCGGCGGCGACGGGCGCGCCAAGAAGCGGAGCCTCCCGCTGAAGCGACCCTCGGGCAGGCCCCACGGGAAGGTCGACGTCAAGGTAGCGGTGAGGGAGACGCGCTACCGGGCCCCTCCCGCTGCCTATGGGGTCCCGCCGCCAGCGGCGAGCAGGGAGTACTCGAGCAGGGACTACACGAGCAGGGAGTACACCGCTCCTCCGGCATACACCGCTCCTCCAGCATACACCGCCCCGCCGGCGTATACCGCTCCGCCGGCGTACGGGTCGGCATACGGCAACCCGTATGCACCGCCACAGCCTCAGTATGAGCGGCAGGATCCATACTACGCGTCGGCTCCGCCGGCTGGGTACCCGAGCTACAGCGGGACGTCGTACGGCCAGCAGCCACCGAGCTACGGGCAGGAAGAGAAGAAGAAGAGCAAGTTCGGGGGGATGGGGATGGGGACGGGATTGGCCGTCGGTGCCGTCGCCGGGGTGCTGGGTGGGATCGCGCTGGTCGAGGGGGCTGAGTACGTGGAGAACAAGATCGCCGACGACGCGGCCGAGAAGGTCGAGGACGACGGCGACGACTACCGAGACGACGGCGACGGCTACCAAGACGACGGCGACGACTACTATTAGTCACTACTGTTTGTCTCGATTTCGTGTTTCCGATCACCGTCTGTATTATGGGATGAATTATATCGTCCCTTGATCTTTCTCTATGTCAAATTTTTTGGCTTTTACTCCCAATCTGCACATCGATCCACAACGAGGGACGAATCAAGCATTAAAAGCGTTTAAATTTAAGTTTGGAGCACATATTATCGTTCGATCATTGCGTATTATATAGAGTTTAATAATTGAGTAATTAGCATAAATTACTTAGAGATCTGGTGCAAAAGTGTTGACCAATTGCTTGAAACATACTATATAGCATTAAAGAAAAGGTTTAAGTACAAATTTATGGAGTTTAACAGTAAAGTTAATAGTTGAGTAATTAGCACGAATTTACTTAGAGATCTGGTGAAAAAGAATTGACCATTTGCTTGAAATGCATTAGATATCATTAAAGAAAAGGTTAAGTACAAACTTAGTTATTAAAATTTTAGCATTTGTGCACTGTGATCTTCTAACTTTGTATTTAGTGCAATCCCAACCCTCTAACTTTTCGGATTTGTGCAATTCAGTCCTCTAATTTTTTTTGCGCAAGCAAGTACTTTGTTTACCCATTAAAACTAAGATAGTCAAATTAGGTTTTTTTTTTTGTCGGTTTGTTTTCTGCTCGTTTAGCTCAAGATTAGCATCGCTTGTTATTTTCTGTCACATAAGCAGTGCCACGTTATTAACTCATTTGACAATTTATTTACAGTGGTTGACTTGAGGATTTGATTGTACGACTTTCAGAATGTTAGAGGACTTAATTGTACAAAATAAAACTTAGAAAATCAAATCGCACAAATTCAACAAAGTTAGAGGAATCAATTGAACAAAGCAAAAGTTAGAAGACAGAATCTCACAAGCGCTAAAATTTAAAGGATTAAACATGCACTTAACCCTTGAAAAAATAGAAAAGTTTCGCGAGGCCAAGAGGAAAATTTTCAAAAAAAGAAAAAGAAAATCAGGGTAAATGGTACAAAATAAAACTTGTGGAAACCAATGTGGGATAAGTCCCTCGAGTTAATCAATTTTAATTGGAAGGGATCAATGAAATGACTCGATTCAATCAATTTGATAAGTTTTTGTTTTCAATTTTGTAAATTTTAAGACTCAATTCACTTTCATGACAAATTTTAAGACTTAGAGGCCCAATTCCAAAACCCTCTAACTTTAGCCTTTGTCCCAATTATATCCCAAACTTTTTTTTTGTCTGCAAAAAACCACAAACTTTCACTTTTGTCCCAAATCTACCATTAATTAACTTTTAGTCAATTTTTAATATTTTTTTTTTTTTTTTTTTTTCTTTTCTTTTCGTTTTTCCATTTAGCATCGCTTGTTATTTTTTGTTTCACCTTCAAGTAGTGCCACGTTATTAACTCATTTGACAATTTATTTAAAGTGGTTGACTTGAGGATTTGATTGTGCGACTTTGAGAAAGTTAGAGGACTTAATTGCACAAAATAAAACTTAGAAAATCGAATCACACAAATTCAACAAAGTTAGAGGAATCAATTGAACAAAGCAAAAGTTAGAAGAGACAGAATCTCACAAGCGCTAAAATTTAAAGGATTAAACATGCATAACCCTTGAAAAAATAGAAAAGTTTGCGAGGCCAAGAGGAAAATTTTCAAAAAAGAAAAAAGAAAATCAGGGTAAATGGTACAAAATAAAACTTGTGGAAACCAATGTGGGATAAGTCCCTCGAGTTAAGGCGAGCATAGCAAGATTACATTGTCAGAATCGATTACGGGCGAAATGATTTTTTTATTCTATGCCCGGAAATAATTTTAAGCATTCGAAAGGGTTTGGTAAGCACCCAAAATTTTTGTTCTTAGAATAGAAAAGAACAAAATGCATTTGGTAAGCTATACAAATTTCGCTTTTATTAATAATAATTTGAAATTTTTAATATTTATTTCTTTTTTTTTTCTCTTTTTCTTTCAGGATAGTTCCCCTTCCTTGATCGATATGCATGTGGTCGGGGCTGCCGGCTCGATATGCCCGATTCGCGGCGTGGGGCCTCGCCCGATGGCCGCCGGCGAGCCTCGCCCCGGTGGCCACGGCGAGGCTCGGCCCGTCTTGGCTAGGCGATTGGCGCAGGTCGGCCTCGCCCAGGCGGTGAGGGGGACCCTGCCAGTCGGCGTCGGGCCACCTGGGCGGTCGTGGGCGGTGGCGGGAAAAAACAATAACAACAAAAAAAAAGAAAAAAATCAAGAAGAATAAGTTCAAAAAAATTGTTCTAGAATCAAAGGAATTGGATTCTAAAGAAAAGCGATTCTTGGCACAATTTTAAAAATTGGCTCAACAAAAATTTAACAAATGGGGTCCCAAAGCGATTTGGGAACTAAAAGTGAAAGTTTGGGGTTTATTTTATGCCAAACAGACTTAATCAATTTTAATTGACGGAATTAATGAAATGACTCAATTCAATCAATTTGATAAATTTGAGGATTTGCTTTCATTTTTTATAAATTTTAAGACTCAATTGCACTTTCATGACAAGTTTTAGAACTTACGGTGCACATATCCCATTTTTATTTATATTGTATATCTAACCTCGATTGAAATGGGCCGTTCTACATGATAGGAGGAGGCCCAATACCGGTATACAAGAAGTCGGGGCTGCCAATGTGATGGATCTCGACTGCTAAACATTTCTGGTTTTTGTGGCTGGTGACGATGATACATAACAATATTATTGGATAACATTTAGTAAAAAACCAAAAGTAAAAGTGACGAGAAAAAAAGAAGAAGGAAGAAAGATTAAGAACGAAAGTGCATTTGATATTAATGGTGACAAAAAAACACAATTAAGTGGACGTGCGATGTGCAGAGAAAAAAAAAAAAGGGATAGAAAGATGAGACCAAGGCCTGATCCATGACATCTACACCGGGACTTGAAAAAAGAAAAAGTACAGAACGATTTGAGGTGGACTATTCTTTGGTGCAGAGTAAATGAGACGGCTGTATATGGGTCCGTGGGAATTATTCTATCGAAGAGTTCGAATATCGTGCGGTACAAAAACAGAACGGCGAAATCGTTACTGTGAGGAGGAGAAGGTAGTTGGGGGTGGGACAAGTACGAAACCAATCGAATTACGTACATTCAGCAAATGGCATGTGATGTGGTTTTTTTTTTTCTTTTTTTTTTTTCGGGTCGAAAATATGGTTGCACTCGTTAAGATGAAGATCGAGCATAGATAGATGAAGCTTCAGAGCAAATAAGAGCCCGAAAGGTTTGGGCCGGATATAAAGTCCAATTTGGAGGACTTTTCTTGTTCGGGCATTAGTAACCCAATCGGCCACCTGGTTTGCTTTCAATGGCGGAATGCTTCTTATCAAATCAAAGATGATTTGATTCCGGTTCATCATTCTCTTCGGCTCGAGCTTGGAAGTAACAATAGGGTTTACTGTGGGGCCATTGCTTCGTTTGAGCTGCGAGGCGGTCCTTCTGTTCGTGTAAAGCCATCTAGGGGACGAGAACTGTTCGGACACACGCAAGCTATGGCTCCCTTACTTGTTCCGTCTAGCTAAGATCTATCTACAGAAAAACCCCATTTTTTTGTGGCCTCCAGCTTCGATCTAACTCGGTACAACACCCTAACGACACCCTAGCTGACGCTCGGTTCGTCGTTTAGCTCCCGCCGTCCATCTCGTGATGTTTGGATAAGTCGCTGTAGCTGATTCCACGAGCTTCCTTGGGTTCGGTTTTTGCTCTCTAAACACAACACTGTTCCTCTCCTTCCAGATCTGCCAAAGGACAACCGAGAGGAGTTCAAAAGGTACAGAATTATGTAGAAATGCAACGGGCCATTCCTCAATTACTGACAACCCAGGGTTTGGGATGTGCACATTTAGAGCTGGGTCGGACCAAATTATCATTGTCCAGGGGGAGACTAGGAGGACATGCTTGGTGGTTTCGTGTTGCTGGTGGCACTAGTCACACATAGAGGATCAAGTGTGATCTTTTTCTCTCGAACAAGTTGTCCTTAGTAGAGAGAGTGCGTTCTGACAAATACTCCAAAGAAAGAATCTGATGTGATTGGAACTTTGAAACTTACGCCCTTATTCCTTAACTTTCTCTTATACATAATCCTGGTACGATGTGTGGCCATGCTAAGCTCATTGGGTTCTGCCAAAATCGGAATTGTGCATTCAAAAACATTGAGAATTGGCACGGCACCGTGATGTTGGATGCGGTAAGAAATCAAAGCGGCCATTGAAAATATGGTCCCGGTGGTTGAGGGTTGGGCAGGGGCATGGCATCGCGGGTCAAGGGCTATGGAGGTGGCCTATCTAGGATCATGAAGCTTGTCACCACCTCCGGTCCATACCTTTGGGACCATGTGTACGAATTACGAAAGCTGGCATCTCTCTCTTCCCGTCACCCATAGCCACCCACCTCAGTTATAGTTAAGATCTGTCAAAAAAAGAGTTCAGTATCATGTACTTTTCCCACCCGCAGATGAAGGAATCGCAGAACCCATAGCTAATAATTAATGCAGAAGCTTACAAAAGCAGGTGAAGATTTTAGTTCCATGGCATTGAATCATGCATACCATCAACGTATATGTTCATCCCAATTGCGCCAAATTGAAAAAAATGTTCGATGAACAAAAGGTCTTCGATCGCGACATGATTATATGATAAATACGGCTCGAGACATCATTGCGTCCATTGCTCTAATAATTCGTTTATTTGAAGAAAAACTGTTTTCGCAAAATTATTTTCTCGATTTTCCGGTGTTTGGATGATAAACCAGTTGATCTACGGAAAAAGTTTTCCATGGACCAAAAACAAAAAAGCTTAGATCGGATAAAACGACTTCTCATTTTGGAACGAAGGAAACCACTTTCCCTAAACTTTGTAAATGATTTCCATGAAAAATATTTTTCTTTATCAAAAAGTTTTTAATGAAACAAACGCATCCTAAATTTCCTATTAAGGGTTGCTTTTCTAACGTAAATCTTGGAAGAAACATGGGAAACCCTCATTATCATTCGAACATAGATAGTCCCCTCTCTCTCACCTGGTACATAACATGACTATTGGGTCATCATAATTCTCATATTAGCATATCACAATCACGCTTAAAATCATTCACAACGAGTCAATTAAATCAGGGTGAAC